GAAAAGTGGGAAAGTGCACCTAATAATATATATGGAAAAATACACCTAAGGTCCTAAGCTCACGTGAAAGAAAAAATATATATATATACTAAGTTGGAAGGTAATACTGGGCTTGTGGGGGCTCACCACGAGTCCTATTTTGATAATCCGAATCGTTCAATATGTAGAACTCTTCCATTACTATATGCCTGTAAAAAATCACGTTAATCGAATATCGCTAACTATATGATCAAATCAATTTGGTATAAAAATGCATGGTGTTACAATTAATGGTTTACAAAAAAAAACTAATCCGATCAGGTAGTTATAGATATCCGATCAACGTGATTTTTTACAAACATATAATACTCGACGAGTTGTATACATTAAGCGGTTTCGATTAGCAAAACGAGACCCGTGATGGCTCCCACTGGCCAAAGAGCACCGTCCAAGTAGTTGCCCGAGAAGGAGGCAACCATTTCCTAGCCTAGCCTCAATTTTGAGCCGTTGCAAACTCAAACAGATATATATAAAACGGTCATAATAATTCAAATAAATAGATTTTAAATTAGTATAAATATATTTTAGTTTTCAAAATATATTTCACAACAAATCATTCTCTCTCTCTCTCTCTTCAACTCTCTCAATCTCTCTCAACTCTCAATTAATTTTGAAGTGTCATCCCTAAGTGGCTATTGCAATTGTGCAACAAGAAACTTTTAGCAGAAAAAGAAAATTTCTATATCGCATTCCCTAGTCGGTAATATTAATTAGTTTAATTAAATTTATGCACATATATTAATTATTATTTTTTACTGATTGAATTTACACATTATTTAAATTAATTGTTAATTCTTATATATTCTTTTACATTCATTACTATAGATCCTAATATGCCTAATGTTTCTGTCGATGTTGATACATATACTACACCACATGAATCTGTTGATTCTCCTTCTAATATCACTATTCCAACAGTTGCATCATCATCTAGGGGCAGAAGTAGTAGTGTTTGGGAAAATTTTGAAAAAATATCTATTAATAATCCTGATGGCACAATTACATTTAAAGCAAAATATAAATATTGTGCACGTTTACTTAGTGTTGCATCTACAGGGGGTACTAGTCATTTAAAAAGGCATTCTGACAAACATTTACAAAATAAACAACCTGATATTCGAAGTCAAATGCAATTAGGGGCTTCATCAACTGGTAATTTGCAAACATTTTCATATGATCCTATACGTGCACAAAATTTTGTAGTTGATTATATTACTAAAAAAGAACAACCTTTTAGTACTAGTGAATGTCCTGATTTTACCGAAATGATTCACAAAAGTTTTACATCGCAATATCAAAGTTTTTCAAGAAATACTACTAGAAATAGGATTTTAAAAAAATTTGAGGATATTAAAAGTGAATTATTTGATATCCTTAAAAATTTGAATGGAAGAGTTTGTTTAACATTTGATCTGTGGTCAAATAATGGTTTTGAATATCAATGTATCACTGCACATTTTATTGATAATGATTGGAAATTAAATAAAAGAATTATTTCATTTAAATTAATTGAACTTCCATACACTGGTCATTCGCTTGGTGTAGAAATAAGAAATATATTATATGAGTGGGCTTTACAAAATAAAATATTTACGATTAGTTTAGATAATGCATCATATTATAATCAAACTGTAGCCCATTTAAAATCAACTTTACAATTACTTGTTGATGGAGATTTATTTCATGTTCGTTGTTGTGCCCATATTTTAAATTTGATTGTTAAAGAAGCTATGCATGTATACGAAACTTCTGTACTTGTAATAAAAAATGCAGTTGTTACTATTATGTCTTCTAGTAATCGAATTTCAAAATATAGAAAAATTTGTCAACGAGAAAATATGTCATTTAAAAAATTAATTTTAGATGTAGATAGTAGGTGGAATTCAACATATAATATGTTAAAAATAGCTTGTAAACAGAGAAGAGCAATAAATTTATTTTTTGCAACAACATCAATAGGAGGAGTACTGACACCCACTGAATTTAATTGGCGCCTTGTATAAAGTTTTTTTAAAAGTTTTCGATACTTCAACAAAATTATTTTATTATATATATATTCTTACTTCACCATTTGTTTTACATATGCTAGCAGAAATAATTAAAGTTTTCATAAAATATATGGGTAATGAACTTTATGTAACCATTATTACTTCAATGAAAGAAAAATTTGATAAATATTTTCATCATTTGCCTCATCTATTAGGTTTAGCTATAATAATTGATCTTAGGTGTAAAGAAATTAGTTTACAAGAATTTTTAGAGCGTATTTTTGATGATCAAATACAGTTTGCCCCTATTATGCAAAGATGCAACAAATTATTTCAAGAATACAGGGCAGCTGCAGCTGCATCTGCATCTGCATCTATAAATACACCTACACACACTACACTAGCAGTCCAACAATCTCGAGGCGGGAGATTAAGTATTTTCATAGCAATAAAAAGTAGAAGAATATCTCAACATAAAAGTGTAAGTAGTTCTGAACTGCAACGTTATTTGGAAAGCCCGTCAGTGGATGATTCCGATAATTTTGATATTTTGGAATGGTGGAAACAAAATGAATCTATGTGGCCTGTGCTTTCGCAGATGGCCCGTGATATACTAACTGTTCCTATTTCTACAATCGCTTCAGAAACAGCTTTTAGTGCAGGTGGACGGGTGCTGAGTGACTACAGGAGCAGGCTTTCACCCGAAATGGTTGAGGCATTGATGATATCCAGGGATCATATGCACGCGCTTCCAAGAAGACAAAATTTTAGTGAAAAAGAGCGAATTCAATATGATTTGGATGATATATCATCGAGCAACGCGACTGAAATATCTGTCTCTTCTGATGATTGATCAACAATTTATTTTTTACTATTTCATTTCATTTCGTTTTTTTCTTGGTTTTTGTTTTTTTTGTTTTTTTTTTGTATTAGATTATTGAGGTCAAGTATAATGCAAATGATTGGTAAGCTAATAGGTGCCAACCTAGTTGGGATGTACTTGACCTATAGTGATGCAATTGCTATACCATCATCAGTAATCTACACCTGATTTATTTAATAATATCAATTTTTGTAATATTTTATTTCATTTTGAAATAAAAATTATTCATTCAATAAATGTTTTATAAATAATTTAATATTGTAATATTGAAAGTTTCAATTTCATATATATATAATTATTCATTTCGAAAGAAAAAAAATTATATAGTTGCATACTTTTTTAGTTATTAGTTCACAATTAAACAAACGTAAGTCATATATAATTAAATTTAAATATCACCATAAAATATTACATAATCAAACAAATATCTCATTAATCGTAATTAAAATGCTCTAGTATAATTTTTTTTTAAATTTTTTATTTCTAATATTAAAAAAAAAGCCCGACTAGGGCCGGCCTGCAGCCCGAGCCCAGGCTCTATTACGAGTGGGCTTGGGCTTGGGCCTGGGCCTCACTTTTTGGCCCATGGGCCGGGCCGCTAAAAAATCGCGAGCCCACAAAGCCCGAATGGGCCGGCCTGGGCTCGGACCCGAATGGGCTGAGCCGGGCCGGGCCGAGCCATTATTACACCCTTATCTGTTGGCTTTTTTTTTGTGGGACTCATATGGAATACCTTTTTTTATGTTTAAAAGCCAAAGTTCTAGTCAATTTTCAAAATTAAGAATATGAATTGCTAGTGGTTATCCACACACGAGTTGTGTGCTATGAAATCTACAAACAAAACAGTTTAGAGTTTTTTTTTTTTTTTGGAAAAAAAATTGAAGCAATTTGACTGCTCCTATGTAATTGTTCATGTATGGGCATTTTTAGAAATTAAAAAAAAAAGAAAAAGGTTTCAAAGCTTCACCGACTTTAGTTGTAGACTTTATATAATAAATACTATAGATAATTATGAAATGTTTTGGAAGTATTGGTCATACATCCATATCTTGATACTTTCCATAAAAATCAACTAGACTGCTCTGTTTCCAGGTGCTTACTTGCTTGCCCTTTTTAGCATGAGAGAGAACTTGCAAGATCATATCTAAATCTTTATAATTCTTTATTAGTCATCGCCTCTTTTTGGTAAATAAAATGTCCTTGTCCTTGGCTCAAGGGAGGATTCAAGCCTATGCTTGAGTCTGCTATGTTATCTATGCTTGTTTTCTTTGCTATAAGAGGTTATTATGACAATAGTAAATTTTTTCCCATTTAAGCTTCCTTTTGCTATGGTCCATTTTAAGCATGCAGTTCTAACTTGTCTTTAGTTGCATTTCCATTCATTTTGGTTTTCACTATTGGATCTGGTGTGAATAATCTATTATGTTTGTAGGTTCGGGAAAGAAAGAAGCATTGAGAGAGAAATTCTATTGGAATATCTTTTTGGCAAATCTTGTTCAGGAACTATGGACATGATTATATAGTATTATGATATTCTTGACCAAATTGTTACAGATTTATAATGTTGATGCCATTGGATGTTCGTTGCGGAGCATGTTCTAAGTTTTGTAATTATGAACCTCCTAGTCAACCAAAAAGGGAAAAAAAGATTATAATGTTTGTATTGATACATTGATTAGGCACTGATGCCTCTACTTTAAAAAGTCTAGTAAGATGAGTATTGCCTTTCTTTCTTTCTTTCTTTTTATTTTTTATCTGATTTAAATCTAAAAACCCTCAAATTTATTTTGAAGAGTGAAAGATTAATGAAGCTTTCGTTCTGAAAGAATTCAAGACAATCATTGATTTAGGTGGTGGACTTGAAGCTTTCAGAATCCTTATATGATTGTCTATAAATGAAGATATAGATTAGGGATATAGTTTCTACTCAAGGACTAGTGCATGGGAGGGACAAACTTCTACCATATATATCTGAGTCAAAATTGTCCAGGTGCATGGTAAATGCAAATAAAACATAGTTCAAAAGATTACTGACTTGACCTTAAGGATGTCATACAAAGAATAGCCAACACTGAATGACAAACAAAAAATAAATTAGACAAACCTTCAATGAATATTGACCAACTGGTGCAATGGAGGTTATCTTTCCTATAGAATCAGGAGGAAGTGCAACATGGTATTGCGCTAAACTGTCCTCAAAGACAATCTGCATAATGATTTAACCATGGCAACCTTAGATGAAGAACAACAAAATAAAAATGCCAAACACATATGGCAACAAAATTTTACAGAAAGGACTTTAAACTTATGTAAACTAAGTTAAGCATTGTTTAACTTACAGCATATAAGTCTCCCCCTGTTACAAGACCTCCCTCACCTGCCACCGACAGATGACGTTAAACTATAAAGCATCAGGTCTTTCTAGCTCTCTAATGTAAACAAAAGCCATAACAATTGTCTCTAAACAACTAAAGTAAAATGCTCTTTGATTACCTATTTTTTTAAGCTGGAATTCCCAAAGGGTGTCCTTGTCAAGGGCCGGGACAGAGACACCACGAGGGATATACACATCACCAGATCGCTTTGCGATGGTCTTTAGAGGCCTCTACATTTTTTTAAAATAATAAATGGATTGTCAGTGGGTAAATGTCCTTCTTAAGAAAGGCTAATAATAAAAAAACCCAATTACAAAAAGTTTTTGTTCAGACAACATTCAAGTTGGGAAATATGAAGGAGCATATATTTCACAAACCTGAATACCATCAAATATATTCCCCAAGATTCCAGGACCCAACTCCACCGACAAAGGCTGTAATGTCAATGAACAAGTTAAATGTTAGTGCATTTAATGTTCGATCTATAACAACTCAAAAATTCTAACAATAATATTGTAAAAAAACATAACAAGATTACCTTGTGTGTTCGTAAAATAGGATCATTGACCGTCAACCCAGCTGTTTCTTCATACACTAAGATGATATATATGTGGGATCTACAAACAAAAACAAGAAGCAGTCACAACTCTCTAGCCCCAGAGCAATTAGTTCGCGTGAGTCACATTCGTTCAGTTAATAAGCAACGTTAAAAGATAAAGTATTACAAAACCCCAAAGAATATGCCTTTTGGGAGGAGAAAAAACAAAAAAACAAAATTAATGAACAAGATTCCTGTTCACAGAGAAAAATTTAACAAATATTTTTTCAAACATATGAACAAAGCAGACATATATTTAAAAAAATTGCTCTTTTAAAGTAAATAAAGAACCATAGCAACTTTGAATTTAGACTGGCAGAACATGTAATAGATCATCAAGAAGGTATCTGACAGCAGACCATCAATTATCCCAAAGTATAAGTACAAACCAAAAAACAGCTTGAAGCCTTATTCTATGTGAACATTGATTTTAGAACCCATGTACTGAGGTTCTTACTAGCATTCCTACTAGTAATTTAGGTTTAAGGACATACCTCCACTACAAAAGTTCGTTTTGCCTCCAAAGTTAAGCAATGAACAAGAGCATTCCATTTTCTAGAACAGTTATCAGGGACACAAAGCCGCCTATAATACTGCTGCATCTGATGGAGAGGAGCTGAGAAAACATGAATGCCATTAGTTTGACAATCCAAAAAACAAAAAAAACAAGTATAGAATTACTTGAAACATAAATAATAAGTTAAAAAAACATTAATGCTGCTGCTGCTGCTCACATTAAGGACACAATAAATTAATATATGTGAAGAGACTTTTAATGTAGCATTCCATGGGATGAGTGCAACATCCTTCACAAATATATATATATATGTGTGTGTGTGTGTGTGTGTGTGTGTGTGTGTGTGTGCTGCAATGCTGCTCAATGTGTATTGTTATATA